GGCATTTTAATATGGGGCCTTATTTCTGAAGCCAGCCTCAAGTGGCAGTTTTTGGCATAATTTTTCAGCCAGTGATTGAGACTTGGTCAAAATGATCAAAAACCCACTGAAAACTCCTGCAGTATAACCCACTGCTTTAAACACAACATAGCCAGATACCACTTCAACTCACAACAGCCCCAACATACAAAGCACAATTACTTACTGACTCACCCTGTGTGTAGTCATGGTCACATTTTCACAATAGAGGGAGGAAGAGCTGTTCCTCCTACCTTGTTATTCTTACAGCCATGGAATCTCCATCTGTCCTTGAGAGCCAGAATGCCTCCAGGCCTCGCCAGCATGTCCCACCTCAGTGGGCAGACAGGCCAGAGGGGATCATGAAAAGCTTAGTCCGGAGTTTGTCATGGAATCTGAGCGGAATAGGAAGCTCATTGTAGCAGGGCTGAATATGAAGATGAATGTTTATGTCCGATTAGCGATGCATGCTCCAATCATGGGAGAGTGGTAATGGAAGACAGGCTGGCTTAGCCCTGATCCGGCTGCAGAGCCAGGACACATGTACCGACACATGAGCCGCCTCCCCGATGGCACCCAGGAAACAGACCACACTGACACATCATGATATGTACTGCCATAATATTCCACGATTAAACTGGCAGTGGCAAAACGAACTGATGGTGCAGTGGTTTTTAAAGGCTGATATTTTGTTTATTGTATTGGAAATGCTCAGTTCTACTATTTTGTAGGAGTATTTGACATTTAAAGTCCCCAAATTCCAAATATTCCCCTCAGATTGTATTCTTAACAAGGTGGGAAACAGCATGTAGACTGTAATTCCAAACTGCACACATACACCCCGACTCACAGAAAGCCAAAAACAGTAACCTGACTGCACCAGAACCATGTAGGAAGGCGTCGTTGGAAACCTTTTGGAAAAGTTCCTCATAGGAGGCTGATTGGTCTGAACCACTGTGGTTGGACAAAATTGCAAGGTTGCCTTTATAAGACAGGGTCTCAAGATTATGAAATAAATGCAAAATGCACAGCACTTTGTTGTCTGTTTTTATTGTCTTCACAATTGCAATGAATCATATTTCAGTAATTATAGAGGGCCTTTGGGGTCACTGAGGGTCTGTGGCCTTAGGGCAGTTGCCCCCTTTCGACTGGTTTATAATCCAGCTTTGAACCAGACCATCATGAACCAGCATTTGTGAACTCATTTATTGTATACATTTATCATGATGTGGTTTACATTTATCTGTGGCATTTTTTTTTTCTGAGCCCTTCAGATAAAGTGCTCCATACCATGAGGACAAAATAATATGAATGCCTAAAAATGACTTTGACAATGATATACATATATATAGTATATATCATTGTCAAACTCATTATAAAAGTGTTGATCCAAGTCTGTGGTTATTTTAGTGTGTGTTGTTGTACTGGATTGCAATGTATTGTTAGGTATCCATGTTATTTTCTCCTCACAGTATGTTATTAGAGACCTTTAATCTAAAGGGCTCCAAAATAAAACTCCACAAAAAAATGTAAACCACATCATAGATCATAGATGTCAGCTGATAAATGTATATACTCTATACACATACATACATACACACATAATTACATATATATGAGGTATTTTGTGTTTTTTGTTTTGTTTGTTTGTTTGTGAATGTCTGATTGAAATCTTCTTTCCCCCAATGATTCAGGTCCACGGGTCAGTGGGTGAGCCGTGGTGGTTGTGGGTGGAGGATCCCATCAATGATCACATCTATCACTCAGAGTACTTGCTCCTGCAGAAGAAACAGGTTCTTTTTGTTTGTTTTTTTATCTCAGACTTCCGTTGACATGAGGACAGTGTTCCTATAAGAGTACATGATAATAACTGATGTTTGTTCTTGGTTCCTGTGCCTTTATGAGTGCGTGTGTTCCTTCCTCCAGGTGGTAACAGGAGAGCCTCAGCACATAGTGTTCACCATCCCTATCTTTGAGCCGTTGCCCTCACAGTACTACATCAAGGCGGTGTCTGACCGCTGGCTTGGGGCCGAGGCCGTCTGCATCATTAACTTCCAGAACCTCATCTTACCCGAGAGACACCCCCCACACACTGGTACACACACTCAAACACATTTATGACGTGACAACAGGGACTTGAATTTAAAATACTGATACTAAGTCTGTTAGTCTGTTATCATACCACCAGCACTGTTTGAATGTTTCCAGCTGTTAGATTCCAGTTGTTGCAGTCCATTGTTAAGACCCAGACTGAGTACTGCCTACTCTCGTCCAGTGGTGGAAGAACTAGTCAGACCCTTTACTTAAGTAAAAATAGCAGTATCACACTGTAAAAATGCTCCATTACAAGTAAAGAGCCCTGCATTTAAAATCATCCTACTTAAAAGTATAGAAATATATCTCAAAAGTGAACGTACTTGCAGTAAAATGTCTCCTGTGACTCATTTATTTATTTACCATTATATATGATATTATTAAGTTGTTAATACTGATGCATCAATGTGAAAACAGCATTTTAGTGTTAAAGCTGTTTGAGGTGGAGCTAGATTTAACTACTTTTATATAGTTAGCTAGTTTTGGCCAGTGGCTCCCAAACCTAGGGGTCAGGGTCACCAGATAAATCTGAGTGGTTGTGAGTTGATTAATGGGAGAGGAGAGAAGGAAAACAAAGTTCTGATATACAAATCTGTTTTCTTTTTGTGTAATATATTTAAAATATATTTTTTAGAGAAAGGTTTGAGGGAAAATCTTTAAGGGTTTGTATGTAAAATTTTAATCAGGAAACTAACTAAACCTATCTACCTAAAATTACAACCTTTCCCTCTGAAGTATAAAGTAACAAAAAATGTTTTATTTAATCTGAATACTTTTGGATTACTATAATATTTCACTTTATACTCAAAAAATGGAGGCAGCCGCAAAAATCCCCAAATATTCTTTTGTTTGTTTAAACATCTCAAAACATTTTCAAAGCAAATAAAATGAATTTTGTATATTCAGCATTTACAGTTGGTCAAAGCAATCAATCAATCAATCAAACCATTGTTGTTAGCCATCCACTGGCAATCCTATTATGTTTTGGGTTGACCAATGAGAGGCTGTGTTCCTGACTTGTCGACCAATCAGACCCTATTAAGCTCTTTAGAGCACAGAGGGCTCACAGAGCATTGGTATTAAGATTTAGCATTTCCCTATTTTGACAGAGACATTATCAAAAAAAAGTCATCTGTGACAATGTAACTATATTCCAATAGTGTATGTAAATGCAATCTGGGTTGCTATAGTAATGTGCTGTTACTGAACTGTCAATACAAACGGATGTGTGTTTGTTGCATGAGACATTTTTATTGTAGTATTAATTAGCCATAAATTGTTGGATTAAACTTGGGCAGTCACACGTTCCCATATACTGATGGCTGAAGCATGTTTGACATAGTGAAAGAAACCTAAACTTTTACTAAACCAAAACTGACATAATAAGAGAGAGGATATTTTCTCCAAATACTCCAACCATAACTTAAGTCAGCTTAAAACAGCAGCTCAGTCACCACCACAAAATGGCATAGCTGCTTGGAAGGTTGCACGGAGACATCAAAATCCCATCTAGACTGGAGAACAAAAGCATGTAATCCTCCCATCCTCCACTCATTCACTCCTCCATTCTATAAGAAAGAAACCAGCATATTATTTCTGACCACATTCCCCCTCAGTACACACAATTACAGCAGCTATCAGGGAAAAACCCACAGCACAGAGGAGATCATATCACAGGCTGATGGAAGGGCCCTGTTTGACCAACATCTCCAGCCTTTCATTAACAAAAAGTCTCAGACTGTCATGTTCTGTTATACATATGTAACAAAAATAAATCTGATGTTAAATGGAGACACGTAAAGAACATGAGATCACAGGCCGTTGCTAGTCCATAAAAAAAAAAAGATTTACACCGATCAGCCATAACATTCTGACTACCTGGGCGCCCATGACTCTGGTTTACCGCTTTTCCTTCGTTGGAGCACTTTTAATAGGTACTGACCACTGCAGACAGACACCCCACAAGAGCTGCAGTTCTGAAGATGCTCTGACCCAGTCGTCTAACCATCACAATGGGGCCCTTATCAAAGTCACTCAAATCCTCACGCTCATACTGTTACGGCTGATTGGTGTATAGCTGGTTATTGATCCAGCAACTGTCACTGTACATTTAATAGAGGTTCCAATTTCCCATTTAATTTCTGTGGATGTTAAAAGAGAAAAACTAATTAATGTTTTTATATGGCCAACAGTAATGTGAATAGGTTACACTGTAAAAACTGCCCTTCTAGACACAAGGCAAATATTGTTAAATATATTCAAATTTTCTTGTATTGAACAAATAAAATCTGCCAATTGGGGAAAGACAGTTTTGCTCGGTTAGTATTCTTAAAACTAATATAAAAATATACCCACTGAAAGACTGTAATGGGCTTTAAAATTAGAAAAAAACTAATGTAAGCAAGTTGTGCTTATTACAATCAATGAAATTTAAAAATGTGTACCTTAATCTAAGATTAGGGCGCCCAGATAGCTCGGTAGAGCTGGAGACCCATGTACGGAGTTGTTGCAGCGGCCTGGGTTCTAATCCGACCTGCGGCCCTTTGCTNNTCATCCCCTCTCTCTCTACCCCCCTTTCCTGTCTATCTTCAGCTGTCACTATAAATAAAGGCAATAAAAGGCCAAAACAAAAAAAAATTAAATCTAAGATTAATAATTAGAGTAAGTGACTTGGAACCAGAAGCATTCTTCTTTTTTAGAATTTTTTATTAAAACATTGGAAAACTAAACAGCTGCTTTATTTACAACACTGGGACAAGACAATAGAAAATAATCTTGTTCCTCTGCTAGGGTACTGCAACTTTAGCTGTAATATCAAGTATAAAATATTTCTTTAAAACCGGAATACTTTTCTAATGCAAAACATGTTTGACAAGATTTTTTTTTCTTTGTAGACAGAAAAGAGGCTAATTTCCCAGAAACAAGGCCTTTTTACCTTCTTGAGATTCATTTTTTGCAGTATAGCTCCTAGTGACAGACCCACAGAAAATGATGCCTTGTTCATGTCATACTGGAGTTACAGTTTCTGCCTCATAAACAGGAGACATGTCAACATGAATACCTCATGTCAGTCAAAGTCTGATATTAAATAGATTAATGAAACCCAAATTTGATTTTTAGTATAATTTTTAATGTGCAGTTTTTAACCCTTACACAATCAACTGCAGACATACGACTATTGTCGACTATTGACTATTTTCTGTTACTGCCGCATGTGTAAATGGCAACAACTGCATTGTTTTTAAAGTTTGTGCTGCTCCACCAAAAAGTGGCCCTGCAACAAAAATGACTATTTGAAGCAGTGTTTCTCAAACTTTTCATACAGCGTACCACCTCAGAAAATATTAGGCTATCCAAGTGCCACCATTATCTCAGACGTTAAAATAAGATTATTTAATGTTGGCTAACAGCGCTAACTTGGTGGAAAATGGGTCCTCCTGGTCCACACTTGTCTTACCAATAGTTCCCATTTGGAGCCACAAACCATTATTTTTATCGCAGCTTACTATTTTGCTATGACATTTTAGCTCGTAAATAATCCCGGATGTAATAATTTTGTGTGTGAATGTGACTACGTACCACCAGTGGTACACATGCCACTGATTTAAAGGAAAGCATTATTCTGAGCAATAATTGTTCCGGTATCAAACTGAATCTGAATACATTCAGAGTGACATGTCCTTGTGTACTTTCATCCTGTAGCAACTTGTATGCAGCAATCAAAAACCACCTTGGAAAAGTTACTTAGATTTGTTTCTGTACACGTAAATAGAAGTGTGTTCTTTGGGTTAAACTTGAAGAAGATCAAGGGCCGTTAAATAGTTTTAATGGTTCTGAGCCTTTATTCTCATTTCCTTTGCTTAGATCTGCACTGGCTGACACATAAACAACTGGGCGTCATTCTCGTGCATATATATTCATCTTCATAGTTTAATTGCAGTAGACACAATTAATAATCATCAGTCACTAATTAATCTCGGCTGCATGCTGTAGTCCATATGTTTCCTATATATGTTGAACAACACTGTCTCAGTGCTTGTTACTTAAACAATTATCTTTAATTAATGATATTTTGCATTTCTGGATCTAGATAAGCAATAACAGTAGAATTTTTCTAATAAAGAAAGATAGTTTAAATCTGATTCCTGACCTTTAATACTGCTGAAATAGATAAAAAAAAATTATTAATTAATTTCCATAATTATTTTTTTCTTTTTTTTCAGTGTACAGGAAGTGTCACCTTCAGTTAATGTTCTTGGCATACATACTTACATACTGTATACTTTATTTTTTATGTACCCCTCTTGTTGCTACCATAAAGGTAATCTGATGAAAACAATCAGTTTCATCTTCCTCCATTTATTCTTTCCCTCTCAGAGCTGCTGGACCTGCAGCCGTTGCCGGTGACAGCCCTGGCTAACCGGGAGTATGAGTGCCTGTACAAGTTCACTCACTTCAACCCCATCCAGACTCAGATCTTCCACACGTTGTATCACACCGACACCAACGTCCTGCTGGGGGCCCCAACAGGCTCTGGCAAAACCATTGCGGCGGAGATGGCCATGTTCCGGGTCTTCAACAAGTATCCAACCTCTAAGGTTTGTCCAGCTGCCTCCGTGTTACTGTTGAATTCAAAGGGATGTTTGTTTACGCAATGTACTGACTTGTTGCAGTCTTTTCTATTGGTTAACATTGGTACTGCGCACTGTTTACATACAAAACTAAGGACCAGTTTGCAAAGTCAGCTGATCATTGTCTCAGAACCCTCATCAAAAAAGAGAAAAATGGATCAGGAGAACAGTCAAATGTAGTCAAGTATCAGTGGCTTTTTGGCTATGAGCGACCTTAACTTTGTATTTACACTGGTACATGTTTTACACTGGTACTCTGATGGTTGAATTTCCCAACGTCACATAAAATCTACTGTGTAATTGCTGTTTGGAAGTAATTTATGTCATATGGCTAGCTCAGCAGTATTACACTGCAGGATAATCTGCTATGGGAAACTAACTGGTTTAAGCTTTCTGCCTATGAAAACAACACAGAATCTGCAAAAATAAAGTGTGTTCAGTTCATTCCTATTGTGCTTTAATAATGTCCAAATATGTAACAAGAGACTGAAAAACCAAACAAAATTAAATGTTCAGATTTCAAATTTACAGCCAACCCAGGGAAAACCTGGCTGCGTTTCTTTTCATTAAATGTTTTTTATTTGTTGCTGTGTGTTCAGGTGGTGTACATCGCCCCCTTGAAAGCCCTGGTCAGAGAGAGAATAGAAGACTGGAAGATCAGGATTGAGGAGAAACTGGGGAAGAAGTAGGTGGAAACAGAGACACCAAGCGGATCCCACAGTGGCAGAATGCATATATGGATGGGGGTCAGCTGTTAGTTGGCATGAACAGTCTTGTGTGTATTCATGTCTTATTTTATGCCATATGTCAGTGGTTCCCAACCTGTGGGTCAGGATCGCGAAGACCTGGCCAATGATATTGTAAAATATCATTACAATTTTGAATACAACTTAAAAAAATGCTATGTAAGTTTAGGAATAAAGACAGAACTGAGCAGGCTGAAGTGTTTCCTCGTTCTTATCTGTGTGTAGAGTGGTGGAACTGACAGGCGACGTGACTCCAGACATGAGAGCTATAGCGCAGGCTGACCTCATTGTCACCACGCCAGAGAAGTGGGATGGAGTGAGCAGAAGCTGGCAGAACCGAAGTTACGTGCAGAAAGTCGCCATTCTCATCATTGATGAGATCCACCTGCTGGGTAAGTCCCCAGAAAACCTGCACAGGTCTGTATGAACAGGTGACATTCTGTAAGTCGTACACTACGTGGTCAACATTATTGTCATATCTCTGGCACTAAAAGTAAGTTAAGCTGATTAAATTTCATTTTTTTAAAGTGATAGTAACAGTGGTTGTAACTAGTGTAGCAGCGCTGGATAGGGTTGGTCTGCAGATAAAGTAAGAACCTAATTAACAGTTGATCTACAGTAGAGGTTTTATACTTTACCATCACAATTTGAGCATTTCCATAACATTCATTTCCTTATACAAAATATATCCAAAATACGTAAAATACAAAATGTTATGCATGTTACTGTCTATCAGAGGCTAATATTAACGTATCTGAAAATCCATACCAGTGTGAAGGAACCCTAGCAGAGGAACTGTTTGTTACATCAACATTCTGAGTGGACTGTGCCATTGTGTCTGTTTCCAGGTGAGGACAGGGGTCCAGTGTTGGAGGTCCTTGTGTCCAGGACCAACTTCATCTCCTCTCACACTTCTAAGAGCGTCAGAGTAGTCGGCCTGTCCACGGCTCTGGCCAACGCTCGAGACCTGGCTGACTGGCTGGGAATCGGACAGGTCAGACATCCGCCATGGCACCAAAACACACAGCAGTACTCATCTTTTAACATAAATATCAGAACATGGCTTGAAAACGCTTTGTCAGTGTGTTCCCGTTACCTTCTGACCCCTTGTTCTTCGGTCAGATTGAGGGATCTTCTTCATAAGCTGACTTGTTTCAGGAATTGGCTTTGTGTACGGAGAACTGCTGCAGTGAAGCCAGCCAGAAACCACACTCTTTGTCTAGCTGCATGTTTTTATATGGTTCATTTGTTGCCTGCCTCTTCATATCTGATTGAATGTATATAATAATAGCAATTAAGATAAACAGATACTTTTGGCCTGTTGTAGTTTATCTCTATAATGGTCTGCAGTCTGTGCCTGGATGCCATGCTTAAGTTGTAATCATCGGGAATGACTGCAGGGATGCGGATGGATGAGCTGGCCTGTCAGCTTGAAGCAGAGAGGAGCATTGGAACGAGACAAAGAAGACTTATTGAGATGATTTGACCAATACGTTTTTATATTGAATGTCAGTACACCGACTCCATAAAGGCTCATGTCAAGCTGTAAAAATGCATCAAAGCAGAATATATTGTTACATTCTTATTTATTGTCCATTCTTACCATCATAATGCTTTCTGGTTCCAAGAACACTCTTATTAGTTTATTATTTCTATCTTAGGATTGGAACTTTCTGTATTCACTGTTTAATATCTGAACATTTCCAGGCCCAGACAGATGTTAAATGATGTTGGGTTAAAGATTTGTTTCTTTTTATCATATATATGGGGTGGCTGTGGCTCAGAGGCGGAGTGGGTCGACCACTTATCGGAAGGTTGTTGGTTCGATCACCAGCTCCTCCAACCACGTGTTGAAGTGTCCTTGAGCAAGATACTGAACCCCAAATTGCTCCTGATGCTGTGCATCGGTGTGTGAATGTGTATGAATGAGTTAGTTTCTGTTCGATGGACTTTGCCATCACTGAGTGAATGTATGTGAAAGGG